AAAAGGTGTTATATAAATTAAATCATTAATATGAAATATTTATAAATAATCAAGTAAGTAAAATAAATACATATATTGATCACATTATAGAATAAAATGTATAACAAAGAATTATAACAGGTATCTAGTGGTAGTTACATTGACTGAAGGTTTTTTTTTTCTTTAAGCTTTGACTTTTGTTTGTTTTGCCCTCTTGATACCAGAGAAGAAAATAGGACAAGGAGGAATAAAAAGAAAACAAAATCCTTCTCCACTTGTATCACAGAAGATTTAATGCCGCTGATTACATCTATTTGTTGTTGAGGGATAAATTCTTTTTTTCCTGGTATGTTGGGATATAATCATGGAGCTGTTGCCCGTGCCTATCCTATTGGATTTTGATAAGAAGGCTATTCAGCTCTCATAATGTCTTCTATCCATTTTCAGGCAGCTTTTAACATGTCTCTTTATTTGTCCCTAAAGCCTCTTCAGCAAAGTCTTTTCATTACAAGTCTCTCAGCTGGCTCTCCAGAGAGACCGGGCCCGACAAGAGTGATAGATAGATAGATAACTCCATAGATTATTCCGCACAGATGTTTTCTCTCCACCAGCCCCCTAGGCTATTCCTTCCAAGTAAACAGAGACGAAATAGAGGCTCTGCTGAAGAGAGAACTCTCAAAAAAAAAAAAAGGAATTAATCAACTATGTCACTGGTATCAACTCAGAGGCACCTGGAGAGAAGACCAGGTGCCCCCCCTCCTACGCCATGACGTCATCGCGCATGTGATGGACGCCGGCAGAGAGAGGAGGGGATGTTCCCCATGGTCCCTGTGTGTGGTAAAGTAGTCACCGCTCCAAGCTCACTCCCCCCAGGATGGACTACAATCTCACGTTTAGTTTACTAATGTGTATTGAGATTGTAGTCCATCCCGGGAGTGAGCTTGGAGCGGTGACTACTTTACAACACACACAGGGACCATGGGGAACAAAAGTAGCCCCCCTCCAGAAGGAAGGACAGTGTCAGCACCAATTCAGAGATGATTGGAGGATCTGCAGACGAGTGATACACAAATAAGATACATTGTTGTTATTAGTTAAGGTGCCTGAATGTATTTGTAAGATTTAACTCCGGAGCTTAGTGTCACTTTAAAAGGTCAGTCCATTCAAAACTGATATTTTGTGTTTGGTGGCTTCCAGAGAGTTAAACCACCTGACAGTTTCTGTGCTTATTGTTATTGCTTGAGTCTGCACACCTACTGGGGCCTTTATGGGGTCTCCAACCATCCCCACTGGAAATGTATTTATTATTATATGATGCGGAATGTAACAGGAGGAGCCGGAACACACAAAGGTGGGTGGGAACACCTGAAACTCCCAGGTCGACAGGAGTTAGGGCAGGAGCATCTCACTATTGGAGCATCCAAGCAACCTAGAACCCCCATTCATCAACATGCTAATGACGTTTCTAAATGATACTTATAAATGAAACCTTTCCATATCCATTCCATGGATACGAGGGGACGTTTCTAGGCAGGATGTATTTGCATGCAGGATACCCCAGATAACAGCCTCATGTGATACTGAGCCACATGACAATCATTTTATTAAACAGGAAGTGAGCGAGAATCCGCAACAGGTAAACAGACAGAAATAAAGCGTTCCCCTGCTCTACGCAAGAAAAAACATTTTCAATTATATCTGTCCCTTTTACTTCCTGTCTGGCAAAACATTGTCAGTAGGACAGGAAGTGATAGGTAATCTCTCTAGTGGACCTCGGGATAAGAGTAAAAATTTGACCTAAGCCACGTGCATACCTAAAGAGGTAACAAAGGTTCAGCTTTTCTTACTAAAACACTGAGGTGTTCAGGTGGTGATAATGAAGGAAGATCCTCTCGCTGAGTTTCCTACATGTGATGCCGAGGTTTATATCAGTATCCTCACATACTTACAATCTAAGAGGCAGGGGCAAGTGATGCATGAAGAGGTAGCTGTGTGAGGATGAATTGTTTGAGAAAGTGGGGGTGATTTACTAACCTAAACACACGCACGCACTAGGTGCGTGTGATTTTTACACAGCAAAACGTATTTATCAACCAAAAAGTCTCTAAAAGCATATTTCCACTAATGCCATATATGGAAAAATCATGCACATGATGCATATATAATGCTGCTTCACAGTTTAGACGAAAATGGTTAGCTCAAGCATTTACATTCCTGCATTCATCAACGCAAGCAACACAACATACAGCTAATTTACACAACATCACCTTGCAATTCATGCAGGGCTTTGCACAACACACCTGCTGGGTGTGTACACACTACAAAGGTGTCTAGATTCCACCAATAGATCATGCTGAGAGGGAACACACTACAGAGGTGTATACTTTGTTTATAAGGTTAGTAAATAAACCCCAGTGACTTCCAGAGGATGGGAGAGACTCTAGTAAAGTCATGGAGGCGAGCATGGCAGAAGTTGATGAGGGAGCTGGAAAGCAAAGGTCTTTTGAAGAGCGTAGGGGGCGGTTAGGGTGATACTTTGAGACCAGGTTTGAGATATAGCCGGGGGCAGAGTTGTGGATGGCTTTGTAACTGATTGTTAATATTTTGAATTGTATCCTTATATTTAATATCTATCTATCTATCTATCTATCTATCTATCTATCTATCTATCTATCTATCTATCTTCCCGTATCTATCTATCCCATAAGGAAGATTTCAGTTCCCCATGCCGCAGAGGTTCAGTCACACTCCCAAGATTTCCATTTCCTTGTTCCATAAGCCGTACTTGAACCATTTACCTTACTGCCCTGACTTCTGTGACCTTCGGCTGTTAAAACGTCAAGTCCATCCCTAAATGAATTTATGAGCTCATAAAGACGTGCCATCATTATGGGCGGCCATTTTAGTGGATGACAAATGTTACATCAGAACATGGTGCTGGGAATAGCTGTCAATGTTCTATCCATCCGCCTCTTCCATTATTGTCTTGGACAAATGTCAGGCGGTTTGGTCAGTCACTGTGCGGAGGGTGCAGAGGTCATAGGTTAGGATTGCGTGATAGTCGGCAACCCACAACTGGTTCATTTTATATGTTAATGAAATCGAAAATGATAAGAGAAGAGCGGCTGAACGAACCCAAAAATCCCCTCCAAGCTACTGCATGGCCGGACAATGATGTTCTGCGGGACTGCCACCTCCTCGACGTGTCCAATGGCACAAAAAGGTCCCACCAAGTCTGCAGACAGCCCAGGGTGAGTTATGACGAGGCGTTCGGTGAAAAGTTCAACTCTATACACACTGGCCATTTTGTGAAGGTCAGGACGTGGTCACATACTGTTCTTGTAGAGTGCAGTCACAGATCGATCTTTTATACACAAACCCCACTGTAATTATTGCATTAAACTCAAGTCAGCATAAAAACGCGCTTTATTATAATTTTTTTTTCTTCAGCGCCAAAGCAGATGCGCCTAATGCAAAACAGCCGACAAAATAGAAATAAAGAAAAAAAAATAAAGACAAAAAAATAAACAGGACAACATAATACATAGACCAACACACACACACAAATAAAGAAACTTCAAACACAACAAATTAAAAAAAATTTAAAAAAATAAAATAAATAAAAAGAAAATAAAAATAAAAGACTGGAATCCAAACCGTTTGAATTAAAATCACCATTATGAGACGGCGAGGGAGAGAGATCCAAAGTATAACAAATAGCGTCTAATTCTGTAGTTTACACAAGCTAATATGAAGAAATAAACAATATCCCCGTCCACATTGGGAGACATCCTTCTCTACTCATTTAATGCATAATGATTTACTATTGGAATCCAAATGTACTTGAAGGACGGTGCAGCCCCTTCTCAGCAACACAGCGGCCCTGCCAAGTGATGTCATTTCAAAGCTATTTACATTGACGGAACGCTCAGCCAAATAATTCCCATTAAGACAGGCTGAGGGCTTTATATCATAACACGGGCCGAGAGCATTAACCATCATCGTCATTCATAATCTAATTGTCCCGGTGCTTATCACAGAGGCTATGGGCCAGGACTCATTTTCTGCTTGCCTAGGTTAAGCTCCGGCGTCCAATCACAAATCAAGTTTTCCCACTCTAAATTGATGATTTCTCTATCTATCTATCTATCTATCTATCTATCTATCTATCTATCTATCTATCTATCTATCTATCCCATATCTATCTATCTATCTATCCCATATCTATCTATCTATCTATCTATCTATCCCATATCTATCTATCTATCTATCTATCTATCTATCTATCTATCTATCTATCTATCTATCCCATATCTATCTATCTATCTATCTATCTATCTATCTATCTATCTATCTATCTATCTATCTATCCCATATCTATCTATCTATCTATCTATCTATCTATCTATCTATCTATCTATCTATCTATCTATCTATCTATCTATCTAGAAGAAGAAACAAGTCAAGCTGTTATATTGTTAACCCATTAAACGTTAGGTGTTGGAGAACAAGCTGCTCAATTCCTACCTTTCGAAGGCAGCCACCTTGTGACGTCACTTCGGACTCTGGCAAAATTTGCTATGGGAAAGGAAAAAAAAAACAAAAAACAACGTTACCTGTCAATTGATTACAATGTATCATATAAAGCCAAAGCATTTTAGTAAAACATTAGTTAAAGTTTGTTCACTTCCTGTCCCAAAGACATCAGTTAATCTATTCAAATGAGATGGTTGTCACCAGAAAAGATGTCCCTAATGGATGATGTCCTGTCACCTTTGGTTCTGGTGACATGAATCATAAAAAACGTGATTCTCCATCACTTTCTGTCTATTTAATAATGGTGACCAGGACCAGGGGTGTCCCTAGACTTTTTTGCAGCCTGAGGTGGCCGGGGG